CTCTTGGGTGTGGTGATTGATATGGTGTCTGATGGTGTATGCTCGATGGGCGAGCCTCCGAAGAATAGGATGTTTCCCAAGAAAGGCCTGCTTCCATTCAAGCTGTCAGCAATATTGGACTAATTTGAACTATGCCACTATGCATGAGAACCGGGCTCAGCCGACCCTTTGCGTCTCCCATCGTATCCCTATATCCCAGGTGAACCATGATACAGCATGATACAGTATGACAGCCAAGATATAATGAGCAACATGGTATAACAAGTGGCCACGTCAAAGATTCTCAAAGGTCATTCCCCCTTCATTCAGAGAGCCAAAGTCTCGGCAAATTGCTAACTCACAAAGTCGAAACTATAACTATAATCATTATTTGGGATGATACCCCCTATGAACATCCACAGTGAGGTCATTATATATATATATTATGTCAAAAAATGAGGTCGGGACATCTGCCATCATCTGCCCATTTGGTAAATGTCGGTCCCCTCAATAGACGTCCTTGGTTTGCAGCTTGCTCTGCAAAGTAGCCACTTTCGCTTCTCCTGGGGGAGATCCGCAACATCCAACCCCCAACAGCTGCCCCTGCCAGCTGCAGGTCAATCCGATTGGTTTGTTGGGTAGTCCCCATTCTGTTGGGAAAATGTGGCCAAAGCTTTCTCTTAGAAAAACACTATAGTTAATAACTAGTTAAATCCGCATTCACTTGCCAAGTAAATGCGGAATTGGGTATAATCACCATGTGTCTTGCTTTCACTGACATCTTAACTCTTCGATACCCTGCCAGAATTCAATATGTGGCTGGTTGGTACGTAATTGTTCCCATGTATGGCCGAAAAATCAAGAAAACAAAACTTCCCATTCCAGCCGGTAGGCCCAGTCAATCTATCATATGCTTGGGAAACTCAAAATGTGGTCCTGGGCTGGCGCATTTTTCAAAAGGAATCGCATTTCATAGTCCCATGAAAATGTGAATCGGTAACCAAACAAGTCTGGATACAGTAATCCTATGTGAATTATAGGGAATATTCCCATGTGAATTATAATAATTATAATATTCCTATGCTTCTTGGGCTAATCATGAGTAATCCGATCCCTCATTTCTTGACATCCATTCCGAACCCTTTTTTTGCTGGTGAAATCACCAGTGCTGGTTTAAAGCCACAGTATGTATGATTGTAAGTCATCATGTATTTCGTTGGTTACTCGTATCTCCACACTATATCCCCCAAAACTCTCCTGAAAATCGTTAGATAATGTTAAATATATATATAGTTAAGTCAAAGCCATTTCTCGCTAGTTTGCATCTTCCCATCGATGTTTTTCTGGCTCCAGGACCCTGCCCGAGAACGCTCGAGAAGGCCCCCGCTGTTGCGCCTTCTTCCCGCTGTTGCGCAGCCAAGGCCAGTTGCCGCAGGAGCTTCTGGACGAAATCCTCGTTGTTCTTCACCTGCTCCTGGCCCCGCAAAAGGCAGCCCCCCGGCTTCATTTTGTCCACCGAGAACGGTTGACGACGAATAACGTACCACAGGAAAAAAAAGCAGGAAAACAAAAACCTACAAGATTCAAGATGATATACGGTTTTTTTAAGTATTTAAATAAATAAATATAATAATATGTGCATATATACATGTATATATATACAATTTCAGTATTTAACGACTTATCGGGCAAACGCCTAATTTGGGAACCCCGCATCATTGCCGCCTCAATTTCATGAGATGTCCCGTTTGCAAAGACTTGTTTTGGGTAGCAGATAGGAAATCGGATGTCATGGGTTAGCAAAGTGCTGGGTCGTACAGGTGCCATTTGTGGTCTCTTCAACACACACCATCCTCATAAGAAGCCCCTTGTAGCATGGGTCATCACTCTCCAAACAGTAACTCCATGATGGTAGGCTTTGTGGATGGGGACTCTTTCCAATGGCCTATGGGAGATAATATGCCTATAGGAAGATAGGATAAGATACCAACAAAGGTGCACTTGAAAATGGAGAGGTCCGCATTGCCCCGGTCATCGGATGCCATCGGCACCTGCCTGAACTTTGGATACCGCCTTTGCTTCATGCTGAGCAGCCTCCGCAGTCCGCAAGCGGCCCTATAATACCACTCATGTATACTCATGTCCTGATCTTTAAAGAAACGAGGTGGCTGGTTTCGTACCATTTGCATTTTTGTTTAATATTGTTTTACCATCCTTTATCAGTACTGAGTGCACAATGCCACATCTGCCTCCAATTGTCCCCAGTGGCCTCGCGTAGCTGCACACCATGCTCCTGCCTCAGTCCAGGGCCCAGCTGGGGAAACAGCTTGGATTTTGTGAATCCTCCGGTGGCAACAGGGGGATATTGAGAGCATAGAGGGAACATCTTCAGTGGGGACCTCCAATGATCAAGTCCTAATACTTGCCAAGTGTGCCATGCTGTGCCAATGTGCGACCCGGTCATCCATTTTCTGGAAATCCTTAGCGTGGGCACCCCCGGTACTTAACATGTTCACCATTTCAAACAGCTAAATAATCTGCCCATGGCTATGTTAAATTACCGGAGGGTAACATCCATGAAAATCACCGAAAAAATGTGTGTAGAATCATTATAATTTTATAATATGTATATTCACAATAACTATATAAATATATGGTAACCCTCGAAGAAAAAAAGTCTACCATCTTTCCGTTTTTATTGGTATTTACAGTGGCATTTTGGCAGAGATTTTTGAGGGAATAAGTCTTGAAGGTTGTACATGGTTTTGGAACCTGTTTTTCAAATAGATTTGGGCTGCGGGGGTGCCATATACAATGTAGATATATAATATAGATGGTAACCCCCCCATTAACGATAAAATAGTGTGTGTGCGTGTGTGTTTTGAAACTATCACATGGTTGGGTCCGAGGTGGTTGCCATACATATACATGTATCAATGTTTCCTCGTGGGACAATATCCCACTATATACAAGGACTTAATGACTCTGACAAAGGCAGGTACGGGGAGGTACTAGTACCCACATTGTCTGTGTAAGTTGTATAAATGGTTGGTACACTTTGCTGAAGTAATATCATCATCTTCTCAAGCACTGTTATATCATCGATGGAATCTGCTGTAGACTCATGTTACACTTTCTTGGAGGGATGCTACACGGATCTGCCAAAAAAATCTTGATTTTTTAAAACTATACATATATATATATACATGTGTATAATATATATATATATTGTATATATATATATTGTATATATATATATTGTATATATATATACATATTGTATATATATATGTGTGGTCTTCTTCAGCTTTCCTTGATTGACACAGATTTTGCACAGTTTGCAGTAAAAAATTAATGACATTGTTTCGTTTGAAGCAAGTGCTGCACTAGGTTGAAAGAGATATTCCAAACATTATGTTAGTGCAATCTTTGCATAGGCATGTAGTACTTGTTTACAGCAAAACATTTGCTTTGCATTGTTTCAAGCAATACTCTACTGTTAAAAAAAAAAGGTATTGCACATTTTGAAGATCTTTTGAAAGTCACATAGCACCTTTTTTAAAAGCATACAATATCTCCATAGAATAGCTGTACTCTTTGAAAGGCATATTACCAAAGTTGGTGCTGCTCTTGCTTCACAACAAAACAAACATCTCTTTTAAAGGGCTTTTGCATCCTCAATGGAATCTACAGTAGGCTCTTGCTACACTTTCTTACAGGAATGCTGCACACTTCCGAATCTACACTTTTAAATATAAGAAACATGGTTCAATGAATGTGCCACTTTATTGACAAAGATTTTGCAAGGTTTGAAGGGCCCTCTGACGGTAAGATTTCATTCTTGTCAAAACCATGTTGTAGCAATTAAACACGAAATTCAATCTTGCAAAACATTATACTACATTTTCCTAGAGGAATGCTATGATTCCTGACTTGATTCACTACATATATAGGAGGGTTCTCCCTGAAATTGGCGGGCAATGCTACACATCTTTCAAAGAATGCAACATTTTTTGCAAAGGGTTGTTGTATATATTGAGGAATAGTGGTCCGTGTGCAAAGTCATTTTACAAGTATTGTTTGTTTATTTAATGTTCTTTCATTTATCTATAGCGAACATATTGTGTGAATTGGTGCCTGTTCAAATTGCATATTTTTTAAATGCGACTTATCTGTCAATCAATGATCACACTTTTTGCAGAGGGTTGTTGCATACATTGAGGAATGGTGTTCTTTCTGCAAAGTCATTTTACAATGTTGTTTGCAAATTGCAGAGATATATATATATAATCTGATATATATATATATATATCTATCTATCAGATATATGTTTCTTTCAATATTTATAGAGAACATATTGATTTGTCTAATCCATCTAACTTCACGATGGCTGGTCAGCATCCGTCAGCCCAGCCACTGCGCTGCTTTCAACTGTCTCCTGGTGAGTTCTTGGATGGTACCCCCGTGCAGCCACAGTTTTTGGGAGGAATAAAACTGGATTTCGTCCCGCAAATTCCATGCGAAATCCATCTTCTTGATCCCAATTCTCCGGTTTATCGGTTTCTTCCCGACATCTTCAACATTTTCCACCAACTTCCATGACAACTTTCGTAAGTTTGGGGTTCATGATCCACCTCGGCCAAAGTTTAAGACCTCGGATTCTGGCTTTTCTTCAAAGTGCCGACCCTGAAATCTTGGCCCGTCTGAGCTGGGACCCCTTCATCCTCTTCTACAGAAAAGACTTCTGCTTTCGCGGATTTGGGTTCATCACCAAACTATATACCCTCTGGTAAAAGTATGTAAAAGTAACATGACTATTAACTTAAAGTATAAACTATTAACTTTTACCTACTATGTATTGACTATACTGTATCTAAAACTATATACCATAAAAGTATTAAAAGCAATGGCCCAGCATATAGAAAATCACCATTTTCAATGGATAAATCCACTATTTCGACTGGGCCATGGCTTCAACGAGTCGGGAGAACGCCCCCGAATCGCTGCAACGCAACGGAGGGCTCCTGAGCTCCGCCTCCTTTCCGTGTGCTGCCTGACTTGGGAAGCCACCGGAAGGCTAAGAAACATGGCCCATGGAACTAGAAGATGTATGAAACCCTCCAAGTACCCGTAAAAATTGGCATTTTTGCCCATACTTTTAGTACATTTAGATATGTTTAGATATGTTTAGTACCTTGACCTATTTTTATTGGTACTTGGGTCTTGATGTGTATGAATTAGAATCAGAATTTTGAGGATTCAGAACCCCCTGAGTTGGTCTCGAAACATTTTTTCGTCAATTCTCCCTGGCATCAAGAAGCTTCGCCCTGAGAAATGCGGATTGGTCCAACGGGCGATACCCTAACATAGCCCTTTGAATTGGGAAAAATCCTGTCTCAACCGTGGTAGTTTCGAAAAATCTCTCTCATCTCTCTCCATCAGATCACCCTGGTGCAGTAGCCTGGGGGCAAGACTAATATATTATATACCCTTTGGAAATTTAACGTAGCTATTGAAAATGGCCATTTATAGTGGATTTACCCATTGAAAATGGTGATTTTCCATAGTTATGTTAGTTTACCAGAGGGTAGATCGAATGATTGCATTTTGGGATGCCATAGCCTCATCAATGTTGAGAAAATCATGTGAAAATACCATAGTTCATGGGAAAATCCCACGGTTTCCAAGTCAATATTTTCCCAAGAAAACCACTTTTTTGATAAACATTTCTGTGGATGGTTGCGAAATCCTGCACCAGTTGGTAAATGGTAACCATCCCATCTCTCTCTCTCTCTCTTTCTCTCCATCGCAATCTCCGAGAGCTTAGCCATCTAGTAATCCGTGTTTTTTTAAAGTTTACCCTCTGGTAATTTAACAGTTTGCTATTGAAAATGGCAATTGATAGTTGATTTACCGAATTTAAAGATGGTGGTTTTTCAATAGCTTTTTGTAACCGTTTACCAGAGGGTACCAACTTACCAACTGGTGCAGGATTTCGCATCCATTGAATCCAAGGTCTCTGGTGACTCTGGTGGCTGCGCCTTCAGCTGTTGTTGCAGCTCCCCCTGCTGCTGTTGCAGCTCCTTCCGCTGCTTGGCTGCATCCTGGCGGCCCCAGCTTGGCGCTACAGCAGGGCGCAACGTCCGTAGCACACCCTACAGCAACGTATGGATATATGTTTATATATGTTAATGTCTATATTTAAAAAATATGATATATGGATGAATATATGGATTAATATGGTCTAATAATATTTAATAACGGGTGATTCGGAAAAAAAAATGACAAAAATGTGACAGTCCTGAGTGACTATGGCAACCTTTGGCTTTCATGTTAAAATTGCAATATATTGCAATGCACCTGTTCTGCGCGTAGTTTACCCACAACCCTTCCCATCACCGCCTCCAAAGACCTACTCGACTGATTGTAGCGGCCTTCGGCGGCCTCTTGGCAAAGGGCAAAATCACACTTTTCAAACAGCAGAATCTTGATGAATTCAGATGAATTCAAGTGGTTGGGGAAATGGTGTTCACAATTTTTTGGGAGGACTTAAAAAGCTATATGGAGGTTTCTTAAAATGGGAAAAAATGGGGATGCCCCAATAGCTGGAAAGAAAAATCCCCCAACAAAATGGATGATTTGGGTACCCCCATGACTTAGAAAACCCCATATAGCCACCATCTTACGCCCAAAATAAGGCCCGACACCATGCCCGTTACAGCCAGTGGGGAGTTGTTGCTTACGGGCCTTGAGATGGTCGTGCAACTGGGAATCTCTCCCTGGAGCTGCACGATCTGACCTAAATGCATCGGACAGGGTGGTTGAGCCTCCTCTGAAAAATGATGGAGTTCGTCAGTTGGGATGATGAAATTCCCAATATATGGAAAAATAAGAAATGTATAAAAATGTTCCAAACCACCAACCAGGATAGGAAATAAGTGACGCCGTACTGAAATAGTGATGGTTTTTGTTTCCCCTATCTCTGTCGGGGTTCAACAATCGGGGGTAAAAAAAACCTATGATTCATGGTGAATTTCATGGTTTCCAGGCTTTCCCCAAAACCCATCCATTGATCGGTAGTTCAACCCCCAAAAATAGGAATGACTGGGAAATCATCAGACCTGAAACCTGCCAAAACCTGATGGTAGCGGGCGGGGCGGGGTTGGATGTTTTTCATGCGACAGTGGCCCCCCCAGAGGTCAATTTGCAGCCTCTCTCTCTCTCTCTCTCTCCATCAAACTAGCAACCCGCACAAGGATAGAAACCTAAAATCCGACACGAAAAGAGGTGGTGCTAAGCATGGTAAAGGACCTTTCTATCTTCGTGGGAAACTACCTGTAAACTGCATTGTGGTAAACTGCATCAACCATGGTGACACGGGATGCTAATCCGATGATGCCTCTGGGAGAAAAAAAACTATGGCAGCTATCACCATTTCAAAAAAAAAGTTGTAAATCATGGTGAATCATCGAACTCTCTATGGCCATGTTGCATAGCAAACTGGATCTGTGGCCTGAAATGTCGACCCATCCCCTTGTTGCACACCCAAGCGTTGACCGGTGCCTTGTTGTGTTTCCAGCTGGGATTGGCCACCTCAAAGAACACAGATATGGTCCCAGTTATGGTCCCAACAAGCTTGGATTTCCCATAGATGGGTGTCCAAAATAGTTAACATATTCCCCGAAAGATTTCCCCATAGATTCCCATAATATCCCATAATGTGATATATGTCCAAAATAATAGTTAACATATTCCCCGAAAGATTTCCCATAGATTCCCCATTTTTGGTGATATATGGTGTGGATCTCCAATTATGGACCAATTGAAATTAGTAATTAAGAATCACCGTCACGCAGGCGCAAACCTAGGTTTATTATAAAATTAATTACATTTGAACACATTTTGTAAAATACACTCGCTATATGGTGGTCACCTGTGGTTACCTGTGGTTTCTACGAAAAAGAATGGCGCAATCTCCGCAAAATTACAGTGTAGACGGTGTTCATTGGAGCATATAAGCAGCCCGAGAAAGGATAACCCAATGGTTTCAATTTCCGAGACAAATAGTGGGTTAGAAACAAGAAAATACATTAATGGGTAAACCATGGCAAACCATCTTTTCCATGCTGTGGCAAGGTGATGAATGATGTTGCTGTTCACATCCTGACTCGACCGGATCCCAGATATCCCAGATGGATCGATGACCCCGGTGACCGTCGATCAGCTGTATGGGGAGCAACTCAAAACACTGTCGGATTCTGGGCTGAAGGGAAACTTTGGCCACAACATGACTACACATTGGCAAACTGGCCTGCAACTGCTGAGCTGTCACCACCAGAATGTTCATCGCCCCAAGTCACAACTGACCCATCTGCCAGAATTGCCGAAAATGCACCATGGCTTGCTTGAGCTTGCTGGACACCTTTGAGCCGATCTTGGACGTCAGAGCTGTCACCTCCATAATCTGGATCCCCCCAAGTCACGGTTGACCCATCTGCAAGTATCGCAGCAAACGCGCTTCCACTGGCTTCAACCTGCTGGACACCTTGGAGCCGATCCTGGACTTCAGAGCTGTCACCACCACAATCTGGATCGCCCCAAGTCACGACTGACCCATCTGCCAGGAGTGCAGCAAATGCGCTGACTATAGTCGCTCGAACTTGCTGGACACCTTTGAGCCGATCTTGGACTCTAGAGCTGTCACAGTCTGTATCGCCCCAAGTCACAACCCTGTCACCTCCACAGCAAAAAACAACGCAAAAGCTCGTTCTGTTGCGGCTATCTTCCCCTCTATGGCAATAGCTGTCAGGGCAGTTCGCAGAGACTTTCTAGGATCCACCACACTATGGTCTGCAGCCTCAAGAAACCAAGTTGAAACGAGTTCTGTGCCAGAACCCTCAAGTCCCCTACTTTGGAGGATTTTGGAATCGAAAACGTATCACTGCGACCGCTTGGCAAAGCTACAGTGACTTGAAACATTCGTCACAAAATATCAAATGTACCAGTTTCTCGAATTGATTTTGAACCCAACTGCACCAAGTATCAGAAATCATGATCTTGGTTTAATTAATTCCATAGGTTTCCTTGGTGGGTGGTCCCTGCGATTTTTTCTGGGAACAAACTCCCCTTGGACCATCACCCTGCGCTGCTGATTTTCGGATCCAGGGTGTCTTTTCCCCGTGGAAAGTCACCTGACACCTGATCTTTCTGAATGTTGTCTACGTTTCTTGAAAACTTTTGCTTTAAGGCAAAGGGCCAAAAAAACCAGCAACTATCATCAACTTCTTCCGATTCCCAAGCCCAAGTGGAAAAAATCATATGTTTTCTCAACATTACTCAACAAATGCCGGACTTTCACCAGAAAAAACGCAGCCCGTTTCGCATGGGGGTGAGCAAAATGAATGAATGTCTCACAGGCGAAAAATCGGCATTAGGGGATATTCGGGGGATATGGAACCCTCAAAAACGGGATCGGATTTTTTCTATTGGACTCCTCGTCATGTTTGGAGTCCATCCTACATTCCTAGATCAACTGGGGTGCAGAAGGGCCAACTGTAACCGGTTCTGTCCACGAAGCACAAACTGGTATAACTCTACACTTCTGAAAATAAACATTCAACCAAAAAAAATGCAGTTTCCAATACACTCATCTTCCAAAGCCTACCTTAGGGTGTTCCATCTCAGGTTTCACCAGGGTCCAAAAATCCCATAAACTCATCCCTAATTTCAGGCAGAAAAGTTACTCCCAACTCTACTTTGATGATCATTTCTGGTTGGTGGTTTAACCATCTTGAAACATATTAGTCAATGGGAAGGATTATCCCATATATCATGGAAAATAAAAAATGTTTGAAACCACCAACCAGATATGTGTTCAATTTACTTTTGGATATACCACTATTTTCTGGGCTGACGGATCTTACGGTCTTACCATATAAAACTATTACGTTACTACCTGACCCCTCCCCTTACTAATTTTTAAAAAAACTAATATGTCACCATTCCAAAGTTGTTTCTTTTAAAAATTTTTAAATATGTTTTTTTTTTCGATGTTATGTTTATGCTACTGGTTTTTCTCCGATGCTGATCTACTATGAGTGGGTGTGTTCCAAATAGCAATTGGGTGTCATACTGATTACTGGGAAGATCCCCAATCAACCCCTCCCACTAGTTTATTCATTTCAATACCAAAATTCTATACTAATTTACATGGTTTCATCATGCTTCTGGACCATATTAGAGTTCATACACTATATGTCGCGATGTTTACTATGATACTACCCCACCGTTAGTTACTACAGTAGTTTGAATACACTTTTCTGTACTTACTCTGCTAATGTCGTAGATTACAAGAATTAAAGTTCTCATTAAAAAAAAAAACATCATTGCTATGGCAATATGTTCAAGAATAATCCATCATAATTAATTTCATCTCATTGTTGAGTCCCATTAAACCAATCACTATCATCCCCATCTGGAAGAGTAATAGTAGTGGATCCATCCGTAAATAATCCATCATCCATCAATAATCTATAAATAATCCATCCATCCATCTTTCATAGTAGTAATAGCAAATCATCCGTAAATAATTAGTCCATTGCCATTATTCACTATGGATTATGGATGCATGAACTAGTAAATAATCTAATCATGGATCCGTCCATACATATTACATCATAGTAATAACCAATTTTCAACATAAATAATCAATGGTTCGTTATATAGTAATAGCGATACTAATATGACAATTAATAATTAATAGTCCATGATTATTAACCTATCAATTGTCAAATTATTAGTATCATTGTGATGGAATAAGCTATTAATCAGAATTATCATATTATATATTCACTGGTAGTAGTACATTATTAACATTATTAACATACAACACAATCCATCCAATGGTACAGTATAATAATAATTTAATAAGGTTAAACATCCATTAGTAATATTAATTGAGATTAACATGTAGAATTACAAATAGTATTACTGTAGGAATTATTACCACTTGAGGCCGGGGGTGGATGACGAAAGCTAGCGGGGCAGGAGAAAGAAGGAAGGGAAGAGGTGAGTTGCGGAGGGACTGTCAGCATCGTGTCGCGGCATTGTTCGTCCCAACGAGGATGCAACAATGATATATTGATATATGATATATAACAATGATATATATGGGGGAGGGGGCAGGGGGGGCCCTTTCGCGGGAAAAATCACGTGATGTCCTTGGGGAGCCCCGAAATACGTGCTAAAGCAAGAAGACTCTAGCGAGCTGACGCTAGCTTTCGTGATAATGACAATAATTGCCAATAATGATAAAATGTAATTGAATAACGATGATGATGATGATGATGATGAATGATGATTGATGAATGATGAATGATGAATGATGAATGATGAATGATGAATGATGAATGATGAATGATGAATGATGAATGATGATGATGATGATGATGATGATGATGATGATGATGATGAATGATGAATGATGAATGATGAATGATGAATGATGAATGATGAATGATGAATGATGAATGATGAATGATGAATGATGAATGATGATGATGATGATGATGATGATGATGATGACGAGGATGATGATGATGATGAGGACGAGGACGAGGACGATGGAGAGGACGATGACGATGACGATGATGATGACGATGATGATGACGACGATGATGATGATGATGATGATGATGATGGTGATGGTGGTGATGGTGGTGATGGTGGTGGTGGTGGGGGGGGGCCCTTTCGCGTGAAAAATCACGTGATGTCCTTGAGCAGCCCCCCCAATACTTGCTAAAGCAAGAAGACTCCAGCTAGCTGACGCTAGCTTTCGTGATTAGTATTGCGAATGATTCCACTAATTATATGTAATGTGAACATTAATTAGTAATCCATTACCATTAATAATCCATTACCATTAATAATCCATTGTTGTTAACACTACCAATGGGTTAACATGTTTAACATAATCCATTGCTAATTATTCCATCCATCAGTTAAGTTATGTAAATTTCCATTAATTCCATGTTCCATTAATTATTACTAGCCTCATTTTCATAACCCATTAACCATGATCAACCATTTTCATAAGTAAAGTGATGTTCATAATCCATTTTCATAAGTAAAGTGATGTTCATAATCCATTAACCATTCATTATGACATTCCATTAACCATTAATACTGTAATATTAACCAGTAATTCTAATAATCTATTATATAAGCATTAGGATTGTGGTAATGGATCATCAACGCCATCAGTGAAAAAAATCCAGCCATCACTCTCCAACCATATCATCTTCCATCCATCACGCCATCCGTTATCATTAATCCATTATCCATTATCCATTAATCATTAAGAATATTAAGCATCAATTGCAATAATCCATTAACCATTAACCATTGATATTAACAATTAATCATATTAACCATTAACCATAATCAACCATTACTGGTTGGTGGTTTCAACCCATCTAAAAAATCTGAGTTCGTCAGTTGGGATGATGACATTCCCAATACATGGGGAAAAAAAAACATGTTCCGAACCACCAACCAGATTATATCACTACCAGTCTTCCAGAAAAAAAAAAGAAATCTCCCAGGGATGCCACCATTAATCATATTAACTATTAACCATAATCAACCATTTCATATATCCATGGTTTCCATCCATAATCAATGGATATAAAGGTTGCTGGTTTCAACCCATCTAAAATTGATATAAACCATTGTCTATATTGTCTATATTAACCATATTAATCCATTAACCATTAATCATATTAACCATTAACCATTGATATTAACCATTTCATATATCCAGATAGACCCTGCCAGATAGGGGTTGGAAGATTAGTTTCCATTAAAAATTGGCGATTCTCGGGGTCTATGTTTATTTACCAGAGGGTAACCATCTAAAAACCATTCATCTTCCATCCACGCCAAGTGACGTTTCACCTTCCCCCTGACCTCCGAGAGCGTTTGCTGCGACGCCTCCAGGCCCTGGCGCCAGGCCAAGGCGCCGTCGGCCAACCTCGGGCTTCACCAAGAAAACTCAGGAGTCAAGCTCAACAAGCAGTAAAAAATCCATGGTTTAACATGGTTTAACATGGTTTAACATGGTTTAAACCAACAAAAATCATGGTTTAACATGGTTTAACATGGTTTAACCAACAAACATGCTAAAAAAAATGCTGATTAGACTAGTCAAAACCAAGACTTTTTCTGAATTGACTCATAAAAATCATGCTGTAACGGTGTGGCCATTCAAAAATGGTGATTTAAGCCGTAAAAAAACAGCATTTCTTGTGCCTTGACCAGCAGGTCCATGATGGTTTCGCCAACAGTTTTTGTGACTTAACCAGTACAGTTTTCAAGATTTAACCAGCAAAAATGGTGATTTATAGTGAAACAAAACAGTTATGATATAAGGCTGTTATGAAATTGTATATTTTTATGGGACATGAGTTATGATAGTGAATCAAATGGGATATGAAATGATATGAAGGCTCAGAAAATGACTGGACCCATGTGAAAAACCCCAAAACCAGGACTTAATGTACTTTCATTTCCATTCATTGTCAGTATGAAAATATCAGATGTGCCCGAACATGGATCCAGATGGGGCATGGATAAAATTGATAAAGGAATTATAATGATGGTTATAAGATCATGATTCGTTGAAGAGTTCATTGGCCACTCTTTGCCATAATGCTCTACAATAGCGGTGTGATCAGAGAATTAACAGAGATTGAGATTTTCAAACCAACCATATTCCGGGGATATTGGGATGTTCTATGGGACAGTATATGGTTCCCCCACTTGGGTGCTCTATTTCCATTTCAGTGCATTTTGCTGCACAATGAAATTGAGGAAGAGGATGGGACACTTATCTGGTGTATCACTTAAAATGGAAGTTCAAATTGGAAATTGATAAACATACGTAGTATAAATTGGAGCTTCTCAATGGGAAAAGACATCTAGAAATTCTCCATTGCTTGGAGTTTCGATCGCCAACTCCCCAATATGACCGTCTGACCATCCGATCGCCCGTATACAGACCATGCGCGAAAAAAGGTCAGGGTCGAGATCGAGACAGGAAGTAGGTGTTTTTTTGAGGTACATTCCATTGTTTCAAATTTTCTGGGCAAATTAAAATAATTCACTAACCTGAACTAAAGTCATTTTGGAATAGTTACCTATCACTAAGCATCATTCCAGTAAGGGAGAACAGTGAGGATGAACAATTGAACTTGGCAACAATCCGACGACAGCTGAAAGGTGATTCTTGATGATTTCGACACATCTCAGACCCTCATCAGAGCATAGTCTCCGGCACCTTTCGGTGCTTGTGCTTCATCATCAGAGATAGAAAAAAATCGCAAACTTGGATCCAAACAACGTATCCATCAATTTAATTTTACAAACTCACCAAATCATAGCCATTGAACAACCCGGTGATGGTTTTACCATGTTGATCCATTTTGGGGGTGTATTGAAATATTATATTGAAAGTCATGGCCCTCCCCCCCAAGCGCTCCGCTGAGACACTCGTGTTGTAATTTCTCGGCGATGTCGTCGGTGGACTGTGAAAAATCGCACGTTCAAGTCGTCAGGTCGAGTCGTTTTCCCCAACAAAACTTAGGAAAGAAATGGAACATAATGGAACTGTAACTAAGTGTTTCATCTATATAGATATCTTATACATATGTTCCAACAAAATTGTTCATCCTCATATATGTTCCAACAAAATCCGCAAATTTGGAGTCCAGAAATGTCATAGGTATTTTATGGTAGGATCAAAACATTGCTCACAGAAACGTCATAGATGTGTTGCATATGTTTACGTTTTGTCATAGAAATGTCACAGATATGTTGTTCCACTGCTCACCAGTTGTTTCCCTTATCAATAGAAATGTCATAGATATGTTTGGCAGACATATCATATTCTTATAGAAATGGCATTAAGTTGTTCTCACGGTTCATCATGTTCTCCCTCGTCCACCGATAATTAAATGGCTACCCTCTGGTTTCAAACAACATCATGGCTATCCATGAAAATCCATCCATTTCCTTCGATGATTTCCCATTACAACCTCCATTGAGCGTATGTTTGTTGGGATAAAAGATGAAAACATAGGAGGCCATATACACTCATTACATCTCATTACTCCGTGATATATATATATATATATGTAAAAACTGTATATATATATATGATATATATATAGTATGTATATATAGTATATAGATAGTATAGTATAGTATAGTATATTATAGTATAGTATATTATAGTATAGTATAGTATAGTATAGTGTAGTGTATATATATTAAAATATTCCAATGAATTACTCCATCTTCCCACCGACCAACTGGCGGCGATGGCACCGCCCCTTGTGATCGCCTGCAGCGCCTCCTCCAGGTCGCTGATTTGCCCATCCCGATCCCCCAACTCCGAGGTGACCGAGTAGGCCTTGGGCGCCGCAACGGCGCCATGGGGGATGAGGGCCATGGAAAGATCCAGCGTTTTTCAATGGAAAAAAAAAAAAAACATGAAAAATTGTAATTTTCCCATGATTTACCTATGAAAAATGGTGGTTATCTTTCCATAGATCCATGTTGAATTACCAGAGGGTAGATGTTTATGATGATCTGAAAAAATGATCATGAGGAGTATCTTGTCATTATTATGGGATCATTATCTGATTATGATCATCTAGGTATCTAATCAGTATTTGTTCAAGAAAAAACTAATCATCCTATTATATCCAGTTATGACCTATTTATGATCAATGATTATCTAATGACTATCCAATGATGTATGATGTCATCATCATCATCATCATCATCATCATCATCTATGTTTCATGTAGGATTATCTGGTTCATATGTGATTATCTAATTATTGATGATGAGTTAATCTACTAGTACATCATTTATTTATCATCAATGAGTATCAATATCTAACGATTTATGATATGACAATGATAATCTAATCATGATCGATGACTATCTAACTAATTATGATGAATTAATCTGTGGATACATGATCAATGATGATCTAAATATCTAATCATCCAATTTTGATCTATTTAAAATCATCTAATTCTGATGATTATCGAATCCCATTTATGATCCATGGGATTTAGATAAAAATCTCCTGGGATTAGATCCTCTGTTTGTTTTTTCTATCCCTTCTTACCTGGGAAAAGAAATAGGGAAACATGAACAGGAAAACAGTTAATCAATCATCTAATGAATCTATCTATATAATCTATTGGGACTAACTGATCTATCTAATCTAATCTAAGATCTCTCCATTGCCAAAGGGACACGTTCTTTCAGTATGTCATCTACCTATCTGCGTATATGTATAACATCGCGGAAGTTACCAGCGATTTTTGATTACCAAAGGGCAACAAGAAACATCAACGACTGGTTCCCTGGTGGTTTGGGGTGGTGGGTTGGAAAACCTCTGGGAATTATGCAGTGCCAGAGGCCAGCTATCATTTTCCATGGACTTTCCAACATGTCCAAGAGTCCGATCCCATAAATAGAAATCCATTGCAATCCAATAATCATCTTTGAACACCCATTTTCCAGTGTTAACTTGGTGGCATGCTGGTACCCTGGCCCCCCATCTAAACCTAAACTCAAAAATCTTGCTTTCAGTTTCCCCCTAGTAATCTAACAGTTAGCTGTGGAAAATCACCATCCTTAATAGGTAAATCAACTATTTTTATGGACAGTTTCAATAATTAATTAGCTATGTTACAGTAAATTACCAGAGGGTACACCTTAATTCAGAGAATGAATTGAGTCTCACCGGCCTGTCGCTAATGTCCCAAAATGCCTCACAATGTCTCATCTGGGCCATCTCCCCACACCGTCAAGCAGCTCGTTTCTCCGCATCCGCTTTCTCGTGACGCAAGGCCATCTGCGAACTTCGCAGTTCATCCCGTTGCTCCTTCAACCTGCGAGCAGATTGGATGAGTTTTGAGGCAAGGGGCCTGGGGCTAGAAAGTGCCAAAGTTTTCTAGCCCCATTTGCAGAAACAAATGAGACAAGACAAGAACTTGAGGACTAGGGAAGCATACCTATACCTTATCTATACTTCCGCCCCCCAAAAAAAGACATCGCGTTTTTGGCAGCGAATCTCCTTGCGGTTGATCCCAGTCTGGGTAAGGAAGAATTGAAATCTCCGGAAAATCATTGGAAAATCATAGGAAAATAGCATAAAATAGCCATGGTTTTGCAGTTAAGCTTTTCCCTGAAACCAATCCATTGATGCCCAAGAGCCACTTTGGGACACTCCGTGCCGATGGCACATCCAGGTCATGGTCTATACATGTCCCCTCCGGTCATCAAACGTGGCAATGGAAAATGTATGAACATGTCCGATTTATATTTATATAATTTTATATAGATGATTTTCGTAATTAAACCTCCATTAATAATTATTTATATAGATGATTTTCGTAATTAAACCTCCATTAATAATTATTTATATAGATGATTTTCGTAATTAAACCTCCATTAATAATTATTTATATAGATGATTTTCGTAATTAAACCTCCATTAATAATTATTTATATAGATGATTTTCGTAATTAAACCTCCATTAATAATTATTTATATAGATGATTTTCGTAATTAAACCTCCATTAATAATTATTTATATAGATGATTTTCGTAATTAAACCTCCATTAATAATTATTTATATAGATGATTTTCGTAATTAAACCTCCATTAATAATTATTTATATAGATGATTTTCGTAATTAAACCTCCATTAATAATTATTTATATAGATGATTTTCGTAATTAAACCTCCATTAATAATTATTTATATAGATGATTTTCGTAATTAAACCTCCATTAATAATTATTTATATAGATGATTTTCGTAATTAAACCTCCATTAATAATTATTTATATAGATGATTTTCGTAATTAAACCTCCATTAATAATTATTTATATAGATGATTTTCGTAATTAAACCTCCATTAATAATTATTTATATAGATGATTTTCGTAATTAAACCTCCATTAATAATTATTTATATAGATGATTTTCGTAATTAAACCTCCATTAAGATCATGGACTTCCATTTGCATCCATTTGCCATGTTTGATTCCCGGACGGTATGACTAGCTTCAAATCGAGAATATCCCTGTATATCATCGTATATTACCATAAAAGCTCATACCCTCTGGTAATTTAACATAGCTATTGAAAATGACCATTTTTAATAGGTAAACCATATATAAATGGGCCATTTCCCATGGCTATGTTAGTCATAACCAGAGGGTATCATAAAATCAAAAAACTGCTTGGATTCATCCCATGTTCCCCCCATGAATTTCATTGTCACATCTGGTCACCTAGCTGGCCTCGAAGTCTGCGTGCCGGCAGCAGCCAACTCCCCTTGCAAGGCTCTCACCTGAGCGCATGGTGTCTGTGTCAACCCTCATCTTCAAAAAATGTATGCTGCATGGCATACGCTAATATTAGCGTAGATATTAATGATGATTAATATGAAAATATATCCTGGAAACATCTATAATGGCACTATAAATCACTATAATAATATTGCATTTATATCACTTGACACATCTTATGCACGGTTTCAGTAGGTCGGGTCGAGTGAGAGTATCAACCAAAGAATCTAGAATTCCAACACGCATGACTCGCATGTAAGTATGATTAATACTACTTGCAGAGTCTCTGCTCTCTTCTTTCGATCTGTGATCAATCACACCTACATGCCACAATATCTCTCTCTATGTATATATATATATATCCATCTACAGGCCACACAATATGTATATATATATAATATGTATAATATGTATGTGTGTGCAAATCTACTAATGGACTGAGCATCCGAGGTTCCAAACCATCCAGTCGTCATCCCCAGACCGCTTTACTTCAACCCCGTCCTGCGCGGCATCGTGCTGCTGAAGGTGCCACAACTGGAAGGTCCACCAAAGGAAGAGAAGAGCAGCCAGGGCCTGAGAAAAATCCGCAGATTTTCAGCCAGGGATTTTTATGGGGAAAATCCACTGGGAGAATTAGAGGTTTCAATGGTAATTAATATATAATAATAAACCCACCTCTATATATATATATATGTGTGTGTGTGTCTGTACATCATATGTGTATAGTGTATATATAGTCATATATATATATATTGAATTATATTGATGTATATATAAGTGAAAACAGGGGACCGAACAAGGGAACCAACCACGGTATCCTTCGATAACCCCATTAAACAAACCAAGCACCCGACCTTTTTGGGCACTTGAGCCACGGACGTCAACCAGCGGTTAGTTATGACCCGAACCCGGTGGTTGTTGGATAAGGGACAACTAAAACCCTGGAATAAACCCTAGGCACTGAACATACCTAACGCTTCTAGGTATGTTATGATACTCAATGTACAGTTTGTCGCGCAAGAGCGACATGCTAAGGAAAAACTATTTGGAGTTTGAATTGGAACTCATAGCTACGCTATTTACACTACGCTATACCTACCTGCTATGCTACATGTAGTGGGGGCTCAGGGGTCGATATATTTCAACTCCCCCCTCGCCTGACCCACGCTCTGCACTTTTGGCAGGAACCTACGCACTAATATTGCGCAAGCGGGCGCTCGCAGCAATCTATGCGTCGGTTTATGGTTTAACGATGCGTGTGTGACACATCCATTTCGGTCCATCATTGGTGATGGAGGTGGACATTGTGTCTTGAGAAGGTTTCTTAAGTTGGGCGGATGCCCATGACCCAAGACCAACATTGTGTTTTGGGCGCTGCCAAGGGAATGTATGTGAGCAGGAGGATGAGGTCCACACAGTGGTGGCGCGGTTTCAGCGGGCTTAGCTATGTGATTGCCCAGCAGTCCGCACTGCGACTCATTACCTAGCTCTATATTATCCCTACTAAGCTTATCACATGGAATACCATTATGTTCACCTGTCGACAATTTCTAGATGTCAGGGGAAGAGGCAAACTTGGATGTGGTTGGCTTAGCATTCGCACTAAGTGCGATCTTGGCAACTTTCCGATGTCTACGGTTAGCGCGACCAGTTGGTTGGTTAGACCCTGGAAGCGACTCCTGACAAGGGATTGAGGCTGATGAAACAACTTGGGATTGAATTATGGCACTTAAAACGCTGGCTATTGGGGGTGACGGGAAACCAGGATTGGGAAGCTCTAACTCCGGAACATTTTATCATTATTCCCATGAAGTCGCGAATTTCAAGGAAGAGTGAAAAGGTATTGGGCTAGAGATTTCTTCACCTACCCTGATGCGAGCATGGGGCTCAGCATCCTCGCCACTTTTGACTCTTTATGTGCTTGCGTTAAGTGGTGCTTTCTTTCCCTTTTGGTGTCGTTTCTTTTCTTCAACCGTATTACTATTTGTGAAGTGGGCGCAGCGTTGGTCGGCAGGATGCCGTGTATGGGTATTGCAGGTAGCACACCCAGGCGTATCCTCAGTGGTGAGGACATGATCTAAGAGGGTGTTTATGGGACATCTTCTAAGATCAGGTGTTGAAGGGTCATTATTACCCCCATCTTTATGACAGAGAACGTCATCCTCAGTATTATTAGGGGATTTCAAGTCGTGCGGGTTACCCCCCCTGAAGAGGGCATGACCACATAACATACCTACCGGGAAGACGAGATCGCCTTCATGCACCAAACGCGCTGGGTTGTGTACATTGACTGCTACGCTTTCACTTCTATGCGACTCAACTTTGCCTGTTATTACCTCAAACCTTTGGGAGCCTCTATCTAGGACAACGCTGCTTGATGAGAGCTGCTCATGCTGCTGCTCTGAAGAATCATCAAAACCATCGGCCTTGCCATCATTGGAATGTGAAAACTTCATAGCGTTATCTTTAGTTATATGGCTAATGGGGTAAAACTGGCTATTTGATAAGTTTAATCGCGTGTGGCTTGGATTGGTGGCTCGCTGCTTCAAGATTTTATCCTTTGGCGGCTCGCCGCTCCCCAGCTCAATTAGGAGCTGGTCATCCATTGTGTTATTGGGTACGTTGGAAACATCGACAACGACCATTTTAGATCCCGACGTGTTAGCCAAACCAACAGCGTCATCAACAGATTCAGGTGCTAGATCTGCTTCTTCATCTTTTGCGGGTGGAAAGACATTATATGTAGGGGTTGACGAAACACCATAGTCATTGGGATCATCTACTTCTACAAGTGTCTTGGGTCCTACGGATGAAGCTGGCATTGCGCTTGGTACCGGAGCAGGGCGCTCATTTGGATCAAATGAACATGGAGTCAGTTCTTCATCATATTGTGGGACGTATTCTACCACCCTAGATGCGCAGATTTTAGCGTTCCTGGGAACTTTTAGCCTGCATCTATTGACGTTTTCGGGAGCTATTAGATATGGGACGCTCTCCCGTGGATCCCAGATGAACATGTAACCTTTATCTATGACTGCTTTACCTATACTTTGTGCTGGAGGGCATTCCTCTAGAACATAGACCTCTTCACCATCAAGAATCTTACTGCCACTAAATGTCAGGGATCCTTTGCCGGATTGGCTGCCACCTCCAGTAGCGAAAGCTACGGGATTTGGAGAGTGCTGTACACTCTCCCGCATGGATGGTGTGAGGGCTTGGCGTCCAATGAGGTGTCGACCTGCTGCAGTGTCCCACAGCCAAGGGATGGCTGTGGAAGCTTCGAAAGGCATGGCAGTGATTACAGGTTTAATCGCGTCAGAGACAGCGATCTCTGGGACTATCACAGTTGCTACGCTAGCATGAACATTAGGAGGGGCTTTATTACCTTTCCTAAGTGATCTAGGAGGAGGTCCTCGATATTTATTGGTTTCAGAGTGGAGGAATGCGCACGATTCTGCCCTACATGCATTGTACGCGAAGAACATGCAAGGGGTGGTGGCCTTCTCGGCTGCCGATTTACGGGCTGCTCTCTTGGTCCTCTTCCCCTTAGGGTTCGTGCTATCCACATCAGTGGATGGAGGCTGCTTTAATCCTACGGGTCTAGCCTTTTGGGTAGGGGCTGCCTGCATATCCTCTTCGGTCTCACCCCCCCCTGAACCCTGACTTGTTGGAGATTCAGGAGTGTTCTCCGATTCTGGGTCTGGGGTTGGTGCCGAGGCACCAGCGATGTTGTCATCGGGAGGTGGATTGGTACCGAAGTACCCTGCCGCTGGTTTTAGACCTAGCTGTTCATCAAAATCTCGGCGATTGCGCTCTTGCTGTTCCAGTTGGATGGCTAGTTCAACTTTAGACCATAACCAGTCAGTTGTGCGACGATGGCTATCCAGTCGGGCTTCCCTAGCTTTAATGACCTTGGGGGCCATTACATCATGG